CAGCCATCTTCGATTCTGAACTCGGGATCCTCTGCGTTATCCGAGATCATTCTCGGATCTCCGAGAAACGGGAGCGCGCATGTCGTCACTTCCGGCTTCAAAACTCGGAATCCAACTCGGAATCCGAGTTCCCAGGGCAAATGGAACGCACCAATAGTTTGGATATAGGGGGCGTGACAGCGTTTACAGCCCATGGAGTCACTCTATACGTGTCGGAGGTCGACATGAATAAAGCCTTTAGTTGGGTTAAATCTTGCAAAGCTGTCAACCCTGATGGCATCCAGTCGTGTGTCCTAAAGGCATGTGACATGCAGCTGTATCGAGTTTATGCCTGTAAGGGACATGGCAGGTAAGGGAGGCATGGAGGCAGGAGTAGTTGCAAAAAAACAAAATAAAAGGTTTATTTACCCAGGCACATGTTGACCCAGCCACTGCTAAGCCAACCAACCACGGGTTAAATTAAAGTTCAGATAACAGAACATAGGTGAATAATCTAAGTATATATAATCAATAGGGGTACACAAAAGAAACAGGACTGCTATCACTTCATGGGAACAGAGGTCAGGCTCCAATGGTCCCAACCTATCAGCTCTCGAACAAGACAAGGCTGAGGCTCAATGCCAATGTCCACACTCACAGGCTCATGGACTTTGAGGTGCTTTCGGTTTAAGTCCTTAAGGTCTTAGGGCTGTCCCACTATCATTGTCAAGTGCATGAGGCTCTCTCACAGACATTTTGAGCCCTTTATGCACACTTTATGTAAGTCTGCATTTCTGCAGACTTTGTCTAAACAGTAAACAAACCATTTCGTTTCATTTTTACTTAATAATGCTGTTTTGACAAAAAAAAAAAGAGTAAATCGATTACTTGGCAATTACCTCTCAAGTTTGCAGATACTGTGCACAGAGAACAACCTGCTCCTTAACACAGAAAAGACTAAAGAGCTAGTCATCAACTTTGGAAGATCATGGAGGATGACTGTACTACATAGAAAGCGACCAAACGTAGTGCATCTGTGTGTGGTATCTCAGCTGCACTTTCAACTGCACAATTCAACAATTGAAGATATTGCAGGTAGAAAGGCAATAAAAGACCATGAATAAGAAGACGATAAATGCAAGCTCTGAGACTATGTATCATCCAGCATTTTGGTGGTGTAATTACTGAGCAATACAGACACACCAGCACACAAGTATAAATGCTCATAACAGTACAGGCCACTTGCATTGGTCACGGCGTATGCTTCACACAGTATAAATCAACCTTTAAGTATAAATCACCCTTAGGGGGGGCATTGACATTGGGGCTGTGTTTCCACTCACATCCCCATTTTGAGATGGACCAGAGAAATAAGTACTCAAATAAGAACACAAAAGAGTTGAAACAAATAGACAAGATTTTACAAACTTAATGCCAACTAAGTATACCCTTAGTTCAGTAACAAAGGTTTAACTAAAAGCCATCAATACAGAAACCATGTCATAATGAGTTATTGTAAATTAACAAAAATGATGGGATGAATTGATAGGGAGCAGTGAGTTCAGGAGAGGACAGATTTACCCATTTACATTTACAGTATTTGGAGGATGCCCTTAGCCAGAGCAACTTGTATAAGTGCTTAGTCTCATCAGTGATTACATTCTGATACTGGTCCAGCAGAACCTACTATCACTCTAAAAAACTCAGTTGGCAAGTAGTACTTTTTTAATAATAAGTGTGTAATTCTGGAAGTCCTAGTACT